TGCTGCACGCCTGATGCCTCCTGGTTTTTCGGTATGTGCATTGGGCTGTCTCAGGGCCACAGCAAGCCATGGAAGAAGCTGGAGGCCCTGGGACTCCAGCAGCAGCTTCTGAAATGAGTAATTTAACTTAAACTAGGGTATTGCTGATATATAAATTTTATCAAACCTGTTCTCTGGAGCATGTCTTGAAATCCGTAGTGCTTCTTTTGGATAAACCGTTGATTAATGTCTCATTTGCACAAAGCCATACTGCCTTTCTACTTGCTTGGTTAGTACGTTAATCAGGATGAAGCCCATATTCTTTACTACTACCTAAAAGTTAGCCTCTGACAGAGATTTAAGGGATGTTTCATCCAATTAAATGGGCATGATTGAACCTGCCATTTTCAGTCTTTGAGCTTAGCTCTGAATTAAAGTACAACTGAAAAATATATACAAAAACTGAAATCATAAGGGCTTTGCAACATCTAGCTTTAAGTAAGTTTCATGATTATTGTAAACAGAACAACCTGGTAGGAGAAATTTTTTTCTTCTCTTTTTAGATTTCTTTAATAAAAGATTTATGATGCTGAAGTAAAAAACATTTCTCTCTGAAAATAAAACAGGCAACTGTTAAGGCAGATTCTTTGAAGTCCACTGCGTGAATTTTACTAATTCCTTACTTAATATTAGCTAAACCATAACTTAATTAAATAGCCTAAATCATTCATCAGACTTGAATTATCCCTATAGGTGGGAAAAGGAAACATCAAAATCATGCAGAGACATTAAGTGAAATACCTCTCCAATTAATAAGATGTTCAAGAAATGTTTCCAGTATTGTAAGTCAGTTTTATTTAAAAAATAGAGTCCAAATATTGTTTTTGATAAGGTGCAACATATATAATGTTTTGTACAATTAAAAACCACAAAAACAAAGCAAAATAATTATAGTGTCATTCCAACACGGAATCAGTGGGTCTCCTGTAATTCTTAAACTTTCTTTCCCTGCTTCATCAAAGCATAAGAATTAATATTTAGTATCACTGTGACAGCCAAAGGGTCTGGCTAATGTCATCCATGTTCTGTACTTTAATAATAAACTTTCTGGTACAGATTGCTTCAAGTACATGTCGGAAGCTGAATATAAGTGTAACACAGTTCATGCAAAACAAAGGTACAATACTGAACTTGCATCATTTAAAGACTTTTGTTCTCTTGTTTAGTTTGACATCTTCAAAGTCCAACTGCTTACGAGGATTGAACTGAGGTTGCATAAAGTGAGCACTATATACTAAAGTACTTACGTAACTCTCAGATTGATCAGGCTACGTGACTATCTTGAGCTCTGAAAATTCAAATAAATACTTAAGGCTGAGATCTATGCCTCTTGGATTCTATTCAGTAACTTCTGAGACATATTTGGGAATACAAATGGAAAACAGTGACTGATAATGGGCTTGTTATGGGGAAATACATTAAATCATTACATCAGAACTGCATTTTTTAAGAAAAGCATAAATTAATAACATATTAAGGGTGTTCCCCATTCAGCCACTCAAGCTAAAAGAGCAACGAAGACTGTAGCACAGGGGAAGTTCAACAGAAAGACTTACAGCCTATTACTGTCTCTGGAAGTGTCTGAAGTGCTAAGTTTTCTAATCAGCAAAGTCTGTCCAGTTTCAAAACCCTTCTTGTCATTCTAGCATCACCTCAGCCTTGATAATGCCAAGCAGCTGCCGTTAGCTATGGCTATGCCATGTCTGGAGAGCTCAATACCAGTCCCTGCTCTAAGGAGATTTAATGTATTTTGAACAAGGAGCAGCAGTCTAACCACCCACATAGAGTTACACATCCAAAGCTTTTTTCCTTGACCCCTTAGATATTTAAACCATTCCATCTGAAGAAGAACATGTTTGATAGAAAAGAGCTGGACCCCTATTTACCTGCCTTCTGCTTGGGGGGTAGTCCCAGGTCAAACTGCACCCGCAATAAGTGCGTAAATCTCAATTCCTTCTGTTGTTTCTTACAAACCACCATGCTGGTTTTATAGATCCTGTTCTTAAGCCCTGAGGGCTCCTCATATGCAGTCTAATAAGGCAAGGCAACAAGCTATCACAGGACTGACTGTTGGTTTTAGCGGATCAGGCATCTGGGTATTGATGGGAACTAGCCACAAAAGTTTATGCCTGTGCATAGCCATGGACTAAGTTTAAGCTGATAACCCAAGTCAATACCCGAGTGAGTTTGTATTCATGGCCAGTTTAACCTCAATTAGGTGACTCCGTGTCTTTTTCTCAAGAAATGATAATTTTTTCAGTGTTAATATACCATCCTAGTTCCTTTTGGCAAACATTGCCCTCAGTACTATCAATGTTCTTCAGTTAGCTCTGCCATGGACTACATGCTAATGCAGCATGGACTGAAATTTCCTTAGCTAACAGAGAAGGCTTTAGATCTCCTTTTCCCTGACATATATGAAGCCTTGAGTTTGATTTCAAATAACAGATAAATTCACTTCTCAATTTATTTCTCTTGGCTTATGAGTGAAAGAGGTATTTTAGTGTTCAAGTGGGGAGAGTACGCACACTTGTTTCCTATGTAAACATAAAGGAATATGGAGAAACTGTTCATCAAACATGTATGTATTAACATTAAGAGCTATAAAAGTGAAAAGTAGAACACAGTCCTTCAGTTTTAATTTCAGAACAAGATTGTGCTCAAAAGTCAGCCTATTGTTCTTAGTCCAAATCCCTTAGATTCTAGTTTTGGGTAGGAACTGACATTCATACTAAGCCTCTTTTGGGTTTAGTTGTGGGAATGCACTGATTTTATGATGTCATCTCTGTTCAGATGAGGGAATCCAATGTTTATGAGCTTGGTTGTTGCCTTGGTTGGCTTTTTATGAGTTTGGCTGATGATAGCTTCACAGAAAAACATAAGAAAACAATATTATGTTGTATTTCCTATTTTCAGAAGGAAAGGGTTGCTCAGTTCTGTAGTTTACGTAGTTTTAACAATATCCCTTTAATAATACATCGTACTGCAGATGTTCAGTTAACAAAGAATATACACTGGAGTATTTATGGGCTTTGGCCAGAGCTACATACATTTATGTTAGTCTGTTGCAAACACTATTGTTAAATAGAGTACTTCGGAGATTAAAATTATCCCTTCACTTCCGTTTCTTTTACTTAAACAATTTGGGCCATACTTTGTGTGAATGCAGTGGGATACATGCCAGAAGGAAGCAGGGTCACTGGAGATAAGAGGAGGAATTTGTGACATGTAACTTTGGGCATCTAACTTAGGGCACACCTGGCTAGTTGTCACAGTTCAGGGACACAATAATCATGCACGTTGCCTACAAGTTGGATCAACAGTCTGGCTTTTGTCTGGAGTAAGCAACAGGCTCTTCTGGCATGAAAGGACTCCCCTCACCTCCAGTCCATGAAGACCATCTGGACACAGTGGACTTGAGCTACCTGTATGAATTTGAACAAAAATACTAGAGGTCTTAGATGCCTATATGAAGGGTCCAGACTCTTGGAGAGTCTGAAGGGGATTCAGGGCATCTAAGCTAGGATGCAACCTCTCTCCAATCTTTAAGCTTGTAGTTGTAAAGCAAACACTGGGCAGTGTGGATTATGTGTTACTGAGAGTAGAATTTGGTCTTCTGTTACTGATAGCAGTAAAGTGCTAGTATATTAACACAGACAATGTTGACTCTGTGCATCTCACATAGGACCAGAACAAGGGTTTAGGAAAATTTAACATTTTTACCTGAGTGACTCGGAGGTCCCTACGGGGGGCTGTTAAATCTTGTGTTCTTGCTGCAAACAGATCAGTAATTAAAGCTTTGCTATCATTGTTTGCATTCTCAGTCCCTTTGATCTTATCCAGCCACAGTGTTGTGGAGATGGATTCCACAGTCCTATGACTGGCAGATGCATAAAGAGTAGATCTGCCACAGAATAAATGTCTGTGACTGTTAAATTAACTTCAGCAGTCTCTTGGCAGGTACAGACAAATGCCAAGACATAGCAGTGATGAACTAAATGGAGAATCAGGAATCAATGCAGAACTTCATTAGTTGGTGAAAAACGATGATGTACACAAGGGGAGATAGGTGAGGGATTCAATCGCTTGTCACTAACATTGATGAGAGCTGGATACCAGTCTCCCTTCAATGCCTTTGAAAATTCCTCCACAGGCTTCTATGTTTTTTCCTGTTGTCACAGCAAACCACATAATACTAAATATTACAGTACCTGTATGCAAAATTGCATAGAGAAATAATAAATCCTTACAAATAAGTCACATTTCAACATTAATAAAGGGAAGCTGATTGACAGAAATGCTAAACTGTATAAAATTCAGAGGACTAAAGCAAGGAGCAGGGGACACTATGTTTTCAAATGAGTTGAAGTGTGTTCTTGCTCCTTTAACTCCACTCCTGATTCACTTAACTTTTACAAAAATAAATGAAGATGACAAAATTTTTCATTTTAAAATACGACGATTTTTTCCCTCATGAAAATGGTATAATTCAGTAGCAAATAAATAGCCATGATTTCAGTAACAAAAACAACTGACGTTACTCATACACACTCTCTAGTTTGGAACACAAATCTTTATATCTGTTAACAGCTTATATATAAACAGTGTCTGCTAGTCTTCACACCTGCCTCGAGAGTTACTGTGAACATTGATTGTGCCATTGGCACTCCTGGCTCTGTCTCTAAGCACTATGTCATTTTACACCCACCAACGCTCCAATTGAGCTGTTGGGAATCTCATTAAGGAAACACAGCTTGATGTCTGCAGCTGCTCAGAGCTTCTAAACTGCCTTCCTCATTAAGTAAGTGCCATCCTGCATCCACTCCCTCTGTCAGAGGCATATTGGGCCATTCCTCAAACACGTTACATTTTCTCTTTAAGCAAAATGAAACACCAAACATAGCCTTTGTGTTAATCTAGAAGGGATTCCTTTGGGGTTACTTTCTTCTTCCTTTACCAGTCTAGTTAAACATGATGGATTCAGGGTCCTGGTTTGCCATTTGAGCCATATGTCTTAATACATCCTTTTTAGTTATGATACCCAGCAGCCTCCTAGAGGAGAAAAGGAAAGGAAAGGTCAACAATCATCTCATATATCATCCATTTTTTTCCCCTGTTCAGTGCAGGGACATTTTGTGAGTGCTTCCAAATAGCACTGTCCGTCTCTTCCATTCCCCAATTATTATCTTTTATAAAAAGCATTCTCACCTTGTGTATTTTTACTTCCCCGGCCATGATCATTAAGTGAAATACTTTGGGTTGTTACCTCTTTTTGTTGGGAACGTGACTGAGTGAGGAGCTACAACTACTGACACTTTGTTCGATAAAGTAATGAGTTCCTTAGGCTCAGGCTGCAGAGGACGAACAGCACAAAACCAAGGCACCAGTGCCCTGAGCTAGGGCATGGGGTTTAGTAATACATGAACTAAGCTAAAACACAAACTTTCTGAAACTCTCACTGCCCGACAGCATAACTCCTTCAAATTTGAGTGATAATTTCTCGTTTATGTATACCTAAATGAATTACATCTGTCAAGAAAAATGAGGCCTATGGGATGTCTGGCCCCAAGAGTAAAAAATTTCCTAACCCTCAGTATTCAAGGGCTTTTATTTCCAGTCCTTGAAGGCCACGAGGCACTGAATTTTAAAACTATGTCATTGTTATTACAGTTTTTCCACCTTTTATTTCTTGTAAGTGCTAGAAATGCAGATCAAAATTTCCAAATCCAAGCACTTAAAATCAGGACCTAGATCTGTGTCCCAATAATGGTCCTTATTTTCTTCATGCTGAAGACACTACATTGATAGTAACAGCTGCAATATATTTGAATAACAAAAAGGCTTTTTGTAGAAGACTAAATTTTAGTCTTCCATATTTGAAAATGCTGGCTCTGGTTTTGCTATCCTGTTGTCAAGTTTCTTCTTACCACTAGATCCTGCACTAGATTCTTACCAATGCTCCCAAAATAGCTCAAATCCCATTGGAATTATGGGATGTTATTTCTAGCGCACATGGTGCAGCTTTTTACTCTTCTAATTTCATGTTTGCCCATACTTTATCAGCTTTTTTTGTGGACTTACCGTTTTCCTTTAAAGAAAGCTGAGCAGATTAATTTTCCTCCACTGACATCTCTATCACAGTCTTCACAAGCATCTAATCTAGCTGGATGTCTAGAAACAGGCACATCCTTTGCAAACAATACTACTTGCCAGATCTGCCTCTGTTGAAAACTGAACCATAGTGGGAGTCAGAACGGTTTATTTTGTACTTATCTTTAGCTTATCTAAATGACAATACACTAAGGATTTGGGAGAACAGAATGAAACATGACACCCGGCAAGGGCCATTTTGATTCCGAGTCTGACTTCTTTTGCTGCCCCAGAGAGACACTGGGCGAGCTTCCCTTATTCTTCCATTCACAAAATAGACAAAAATCAAAATATTCACTTGACTGTCTCAGAGGTGCTGATGATTAGCTACTGGCTATACTTGGCTTTAAACAGGAACAATGGTGGTTTTGCTAATGCTGAAGAAAATCTCCTCAGATTCTCTAAGCGTGCTTGACTCAGCATCTACTCACCCACTGCGAGTGACAAGACACTGCCGGAGTCCGAGTTTCCGGAAAATATCTACCACAGTCTCCATTGGCGTGTGGTCAGTGACAGTGAAAGGGCTCAGGTTGAGGATACGCCGCAGCTTCAGCGGATGGGGACTGTTGGGTGGCAGTTCCGGGGGGTCTTCAGTGAAATACACGATAGAGTTGCTCACCACCCCATCCTGACGCTGTCTTGCATTCTCTGTAGGACGGAAAGATCAAGGTAGACAGTGAGTTGGGCTTGATAACAAAACAAAAAAAATTATCCTCCTTTGGAAAGCAAAGGTCGTAGTAGCTTTTTGTCTTTAATGTACTGAGGCCCCGGAAGTCGGGGTTACAGAGCAAACTTGAATTTCCTTGAGACATTGTTCCCTTGAAGCAAACGTAAGTGATATTTTTACAAACATACACTTTTGCTTGGTTGGGATAATGCTTTTCTGAATAAATATGCAGCTCATTGCATTCACAAACATCACTAATCCAATTTCTGTCAAATTCAGATGATTATATGTCATTTCCTCTATTGTGAGAATCACAACAGAAAACTACTATTACATGCCCAAAGGAGTGGAGCCAACAGCCTGTGTACGGTCCCAGCTGGCTTGGAGCAGTATGTTTGTTCCCAGACTTTTCAGTGGAGTGGGGGAAATCTGGGCAGGGTGAATGGATTTATTGGAAAGACAAATTCACATCACAGGGATCTGGGGGCGGTGTGGGTGTTGTTCTAGACCTGAACACCTCTCTGGCATGCAGGGTGAATTTTGTGGGTTTGTACTTAATGCCTTAAATAGAGTTTGCATATCTAGATTTTAAAAGGGCAGAAAAAATTAGCATCCTACTTAAAGGAAAATAGTAAAGGGAGGAAAAATGTATAGCAGTAAATGAATTTGATACATTTTTCTCAACAGTACATATTTGACCACTTTCAAAAGTTCAAAAGCTATCATTCATACTTTGATCAAACTACGAAGTGAACTTTACACTACATCTGGACTTTACATGATCAGTATAAGCCTTTTACTTTAAAGTACGCTCCAACAAGAATTCTTAGCATTGAAGAGGTTTATTTTCTTTGTAGTGTTTACCTCATTTCTACTCAACACTACAGGGTGCGACCAGTATATGAGATGGATTTCCAAATGACAGACAACTTTTCTCTCCCCAGAGTAAGCATATCATGTGTTTGGCTCTGAGGGTTTAACTCTTTCTTCTTTTTTGCATAAATTCTTGGAAATGGCTGGAATTATTATCTTTGATTAATATAGGTTGCTTCTGTTCTTGAGAGGTACAGCAAATCAGACATACTCAAAGCATATGTATATATTCTTGGAACTCATTGCCATCAATCAAAGTGCAGAAACCTGCTCCTGTGACTTGTAATGTGTAGACAGTAATGGTTTCCAACATGTTCCAGCCGCATTTTTTTTTCTTTAATGATCATTGTCTTGTAATATTTCTGGAACTGGAGCAGTGCTGGCTCAAACCTAATATCAGTACAGTATATGATTTTCAACCTTCTCACCCCACATATTACAAGCCCTATTGCAATTTATAGGAATGATGCTAACTTTGTCTCATCTTGTTTTGATTCATACATCTAATTTCAAGTGTGAGCGTGCCTGCATAGCTCTTTGATATATGATCTGTGGTAAGTGGTAACATTAATCAAACTGAAGGTAACTCAACTCCCACCCTTTGATAAAAACCCTCAACAGCTAGGTATTTCCTTCCTGAAGCTGCACCCAAAGCAATAGGCCCAAGCATTTCAGTTACCACATTGCTGTTCCCAAGGCGGCAATGACCCTGCACAACAGTGATTAGCAAAGCTATGACTTCACTCTTCAAAGTCAAACATCTCTCTCGAGAAATTTGAATGATGTAGTACTATTGAGCAAATTCAGTGGCATCAGAAAAATGGTGGACTTTGTATGCAGTCTCACTGGATGGGGGAGTTAGAGTAAAGGTAAAATAGAAGGAACAGACCATTTTTGCAGTCAGTGGGTAGGAAAACCAGATATAGCTTAACAGAAAGAGCAAAGCAAATGGATGACGATGTCTGGTTTTACAGAGTAAAAGGCTCTTGCCATAGCTAGAGGGTGGTTCTCTCAAATGTGAAACGGCCTTTCATATTCAGGAGTTCACAGCCTATACAAACTATGTTGCACTCCCAACTCCACACTGGGAAAGGTACATTATACAGGCCACCTGGCTTGTGTCCAGGACTCTGTCTTTTGTATGATGCCACTGAAGCTGGCCAAATTTAAGAAGAGCTTTACAGGGTCAAATACTCCCCTCCAGAAGACTGTAAAGTAGGTGCCATCTAAAATGTAGACACCTATTCCCAGAGAGCGACTCTGCCCACCTGACCTGCCTACCTGCTCAACGAGGACCAGTGGAAGGAGGCAATCCTCCTGAAGGTGCTTCTGAGCAATTGGAAGTGGCATTGCCATTCACTTTACAGGGACTGGATGCATTTCTAGAGCGTGCTTAGTGCTCCGCTTAGTAAGAAAGAAATTATGTAGGGGTAAATCACGAGGCAGAGAGCTGTGTGTGAACACGTATTTGATGTGGGGCTCAACAGCTATTGCCTTCATCCAAGAAGTCAGTTGTGTGAGGGAATCGGAGTACTTCTCCTGAGTATTCCCACACTGCTGATGCACAATTTCTTGGGCCAGAGAAAGAAGCTGAAGCTTCTTGGTTGAAAGCATGTGTCTACATAGTGCAACGTGTTGTCATACAGAGGCACCAAAGCTAGTTCAAACTGAGGAGGCATTCTGCAGGGCACAATGCAGTGAAAGGAGAGATACTGGTGTGGGCCTGAGTCTGCTCTTCAGAAGACCTCATTCCCTGGCTACAGTGCTGCACAGATGGGGCTTATACTGTTCCCAGACATAACTCCAGTATCTCTGGATGCTGTCAGGATGAGGAGGAGATAAGAACCTGAACAGGAGAATAAAAGATGCTTCACCACATGTGATGTTTACCTCTTGGCAAGTAATTTTATAGTTTAAGGAAACTTAGTGTATGGCTCCATGAACGGAATTATGAAGCAAGCTGAGGTGAAGGTTTGCAACATGTTAGCTACTCTGTGATAACAATGAGCAGTGACTTCTTCTGCAATAAATGCAAAGCAACTTTGGCCTTCAGTGAAAGAGGATTAGCTATCAAAAAGTTGCTAGCATGGTACAAAACCAGTGTTTTGCCCTGCCCTGTACTGGAACCATATACTGTATCTCTTGGAAAAGTGAAACCAAATCCAGATTTTAAGTTACAAAGACACAAACCATACTGGAAATATTAACTGTTTATCATAGAGTCAGCACGGAATGACATCAGGAGCTGCCATACTCATCCTAAGAGAAAAAGGGTCACCAAAGGTCCCTGACAGCTAAGGATTTTAGGAAAACTTATCTATGCAGAGAGGTTTTTGATTTTAAATCTCAGTTTTGCCTCAGATCCTATGAAAGATGCTCTTAATTAGACCTCATCAGGAAACAGTACCTTTTCCTCTGGAAAATGTGGATGTCAAAGAAACCGTTTTCAAACAGGAAAACATTTTGACCTAAAATGTTTGCTGAGTTTATTTTTAACTGATTTATTTGTTATCAGTGCATAGCTGGACATTTTCACACAACTCCTAGTGAGCCCATTCAGCCATGTTGCCATTTATGACCTGAATCAAAAGACTCAGTTCCTCAAACTTCCCTGACTCGCTTCAGATAGCGTCTGATTTTTCTGCTTTTAAAGTGAGGGCTCTGCATCTTCACTCCATGCAATTTTCCCACTGACATACCTCCCTGCAAAGGAGACGCAAAAGGCTATAAAGTTAGGATGGCAGCAAGTGTTACAGCCATGACATGGCACAGACAGTGTAAAAGCCAGTCACAGTGTAGGCTAAATACATCTAATTAAGGTTTTCTACTTCTCACAGGGGAATGCAGAAGACATTTGAAAATCATTGGCAAGAGCAGGGTAAAATACAAACTGTTTTTTAAATGGTATCAGCTCTCAGCATTTACACATTTGGTGAAACTTCAGACACATATTTACTTTCCTAGCTTGGCCATACAAGGCATCTTTTGTTACTACCAAAGGAAGATTAGCCTTCTGAGAAAATCAGTTGTTTGAAAGGGGTTTGCAGCTGGCAGCCTTGGACTTCATCTTGGTGTCTTTAAAATCCTCTTATAGTGAGACCGGTATACAAAGGATTATAACTTCATGGAGACTTTTTTTTGCTTGTTTTTGGAGGAGGGAGGAAGGAGCAAGCAGTGATAGTAGGCTTTTAATGAAAAAGTTAGATTCCCACACTCCTTGGAAGTTAAATGACAATTGTACAATTAGAGGAGCTGTAGAACTGGCAGTAAGGACTGTTCTGCTTTCCGGTGTTTTGAGAAATCAGTGACATACATAACTAAATGCAAAATGAATTCAGTTCATAAACTATTTTCTCTAACTGAAATGACAACTTATATCACAGAAGGGAAAAAATGAGAAAAGAATTTCTTACTGAAGAGAATTCCGCACTACATTTTAAGGGGAGAAAACTGGGCTCTGTCATTTCTTTTCTTCTTCTGCATGTAGTATTGATGCAGCATTGGTGACTTTCTGCTATGGGATGAGAAGAAGGGAATCAAGTAACAGCTGAGTGTCCTTAAATAAATGAATATAAATTTTAGGTCTAATCACTTAGACGGAGTCTTTTTACATCCAGGAGACGAAAATAAATATGCATCAAAAACCACGTGCTTTAAAGAGCACTGTTATTTCAAATTTTATTTTAGCTTTGTGAGTAGTGAGCAGGAAAGTGGCCGTCTCAAATAGCCCTGATTTTCCATTTATGGATTTTCTTTTCTGAAGAATACAGGAGTTTCCGTCTGAGACAGCAGCTATTTAAAGGTGCCTGAAGCTGAGGGATGAAACGGGCCCACACAGACAGGAATAATTCCATGTCAAGGAGATTTGGATATGCCAGACATTCCACTCCCCTGAAAAGTATAAGGCAACCATGCCCAGCCAGCAGCCTGCCTGCCTGCCCAGCTGGCCCTCAGCACCACAGGACTGCCAGAATTGGGAGCGGACCATGGGGTTGATTTGCCGCACTCGCAGACCTCTGCAGCTCTGGATGCCCTGGGTACGGGGAAGGTGGGAACTCTTGCTTTCATCCAATCTACCTGTCTGTTCAATCCTCACCTAGCTATCAGGCCAACCAGGAAAGGACCTGATGGGTCAAAACCTGTAATGACCTGGGTCGGGTTCTCAGGCAACCAGGCAGCTATCCGCTGGATGCTTGACAAAACTCAGCCATCTTTACCGAACAACATCCTCCACTGAAAAGCTTTCCACCTCTAGCACAAAAGGCCTGCACGTGAGAAAAATTGAGATAGTGCAACAGAAAGAAGCACAGGGACTTGCACTTCATCACAGGGTGACAAAGGTTCACGACTGCCCCAGCTGCTGCCGGCGCCCATGGATACTACAGGAAGCTCAGCACTGCAGTGGTTTTTCATCTGCTTCTGGCAAAACTTCTGGCCTTATGAGTCAGGTTTCTCTCTGTTGTCTTTAGCAGAATTGTACTGTACTCTTGTGAGTGATGACAAAATTAAGCTGACAAAATTAAGCCCACAAAATTCAAGTCCACAGAAGTCTACCAGGTGGTGTGCTACAATAGAAAAGATTCCAGCTATGGATCCTAGGAACTAGTAAAAGCCTGACTTGGGGAAAAAGTTAGGTTTGGTTCTTATTTATCCATTCTTCAAGGTGAATAACACTGGTAACATCCTACCCTATCAAAATTCCTGTCAAAATCAAATTTAGGTACACTGATACTCTACTCACTTATTGCAAGAATCAGCTCTCGTCTCTGTGCAAATCCAATAAGTCTCTCCGAGTCTTTTGAAACCACTACTGGAAAGCCATTGTAGTCAGTCTCCTTGATTAGTGTCTCAACATCCTCCACCGTCATGCTGTCCTGCGTCAGAACAGAAAGAGGAGCTTCACCACGCCTCGGTCTCATGACGTCAGTTGCCAGGGTTCGGTGGGTGAATTCATCCTTCACATCCAGAAACGGGTAGCCGTTCAGATGAATGTGAGCTTCATAGATCCCTTCTTTCCCAAAGGCGTCTGCCACCCACTTGCTTGTGACAGCTGCAGCCATAAGAGGCACGATGTACTCCAGGCCTCCAGTTAGCTCAAACATAATCACCACCAGAGAGACCGTCATACGGGTAACACCACCTGCCAACAAGGAAAGCAGTCAAGTTTCCCTCAGTGCTCTTGAGGTATACATACTAAGCAACTCATTTATATTTTTGAGTCTTACACTCAAAAAGGCAGGAGATTTTTCATGCTGAGTACTTTGCCCTTATACATTGTGAAGTATTTTTGGGCTTATTTCACTGAAGAAAGAGATTTTTCATCTACTGCAATTTTCATCAAAAAGATTGAGTGAACTTGCTCAAGCCAAAGATGCTAACGTTGAAAAGCAAATAATGAATGCTAAAAGACTGAGCTATCAAACCAGAAAGCATGCCAAAAAATCAGCTATACTGGATATCTGAGAAACTGAAACATCCTGCCATTAGCCCTCTGAAAATGACTCCAAGAATCAGCTAAGTACCATGGCGGGGGCAGGTAGGGCGTTGAGAGCTGGCCTTCGCATTGGTTTACCTATCGCATTCATACTGAAGAGAAAGCTAAGCATTATCCTCGGGCACGACGTGGTTACAAAATCCTACATAAGGATAGTTTAGGGCCACTGCAAGAGCTATGTTACAGCTTAAACCCTAGCTTTTGATATCAGAATAACATACAATTTGAACTGTATACAGCTTGGTCTGAGGCCATCTAGGCATGCAGCCATAGATAGGGTTGTAGCTGTATTTTTCAATCTAGTCTTTCTGTCTTAATTTTATAAGCAAGCTCCTTACTCCTTCAGTTTACATTAAAGGATAAAAATAATCACATAACTGCAGACAAGTGTGTATGTATCACTGAATTATTAGGTAACATTTCTTTGCCTCTGTTCAAAAGGTAAAGGTAATAAATCTGCTATTTTTAGGCCTCAAAATACAGCACCATTTTAGATGAGAGAAATCAGAAACAGGTCATTAAAAGATGTTTTTTATCTAGCATCATACAGGAAAATTAAATTGTTGATTATTTAACACGATGATCCGGATATGACTTTCATCTGAGGAATGCCTTAAACTTCTGACTCTGAAAAGCTGAGAGCAGATACCAGAGTAAGGATCATTTAATACTTACTCTGTATCTCTTACTCTAAGTGACACAGGTCTTGGGCTTAACAGCAAGCAGTGACCATTCTGCTGTATGTCTCACCATACTATTAAAATCACTGCATCTTGATTTGGACCTTTTAAAAAAGGTCAGAGTTGATGTGACTAGCAGATCGACTGGAATATCAGAGCAAAATTTTTGTGTATCATCATTTCTTTTATGAACATTAAGATCATTTATGGACAAGAGAAAGCGCTTTACTCTTTTTGACAGTAAGATTCATCCTAACTATTTTAATGTGTCTACACTGCTGTCGGTGTTCACATCCAAAGGGGTGATCCAGATTGCCTTTATAATCTCTAGACCAAAAACAGGCGCTTTTGAGGCCAAATTCATCTGTTCATTTGCCTGGTTTTAGATGTCTATTGCCAGATGAGACTGATCTTTCCAGTATCACATTTTTCTGGTTTGACTGTGAAGGGTGTCAACACAACTAGTTCAGATGTTGATGTCTACATTACAGACATTAAATTTAGACAAGCAAATCCCACCCTTTCTTCCTCTATAACTGATTGCACAAATGATCCTACTTTTCTAACATGAGATTCCAAAACTGAAACTTTTCCAGCTCTTCCCTGAGTATATCTTTCATTTCAAATCTACCCAATTACATTAATCATGTGTTATGCCTCCCCACTATTATTTCATCATCTAACGACGGTATCAACAACAACAACAAAAGGAGCTAGAACATACAAGTACAGAAGGGGAAAGATGATCAAGCAAAAACATGTTCAGATGGTATGCTTTTAACATTCCTGTTGCATCTATGACTAGAAATTTGGTATGTGAGGTATTATTCAATGATCTTGCTTTAATAGTTAACAGATCATTCCTGTTATATCCAATAAATCCTATTGATTGAATGTAATCAGATGTTAGCCTATGGTCAAAACAAAAACTAAATGACAGCCCAGTTGACCATAGTGCGACACACAGCCAAAGTAAGACCCAGAATTTTTACCTCTGCGTAGCTTAAAATTTGGCCAGAACTGGGAAGTTTGTTCCCTGCACTGATAGAGAGCACAGTCTAAACAAGGAAGTAGCGTTAGTCCAGCTACAGTGGATTTCCTTACACCAAAAGGGAAAAAAACCAAGCAAAAAACACTCCTTCTTGGAAACCCGTAGCCTAACTTCAATTTTTTCTTTCCTTCTATGTGCTTTTTGGCAGCTTACAAGGAGTAGGCATTGGTGACTGCAAGCCTTTCTTTTGTTGACTGCCTGGCAGATCACTGGAGAGACCATTTGAGGAAGCTGCCCATGCTTTAGCCCATCACATCTATTACGTCCAGAAATGCCAGCATAGCACCTAACACAAACACAAAACCCTCATAAACAATTTAGGTCCTGAAACATCAGTGCTATCCACGCACAAAGCAATGATCAGCAGGTACTGTACCCAAGCAAGCTGCCGCTCCCACCATAGCGTAAAGTCCTGGCGTGACGCAGTCTGCCCCAGGTCTGCACCAGTTCCTGAAGATGATCCAGTCATGATGGTGATATGCCAGCTGCTCTACTCCGATCCCAACCATCCTGCCAGCCATGGCTCCAACAGCCATGCTGGGAATGAAAAGACCTGAAGGGATCTTGAATAAAATATAGACACATGAGCACCTTGACAAAAATTACTAGTAATGAACTTATTGATCAAACAATTTATTATTAGTGGTAAGAGAACTCCATTTCCTTATTAAATGCCATAGCCACAGATGTTCGCTGTGGTCTGAGGGAGGTTTCTGCAGTGACTGAGTTTGTGTGGCTACATGTGTATTAGTAGCTTTATAAAATTTTAATGCATTTTTTTAAAGTAATTTTGAATCCTACCTGCTGCATCATACTGAAATTGATAGATAAATGGTGTTTTGCAACTTTTAAAGTCAAGATGCTCCTGGTTTTGCCTTTACTGCTTCAGGAAGTCAGGAGCTGCTGATGGTTCTGTCATGGGCTTGAGAATAAGCTTAACTGAAAATAACATCTTGATTTCAACTTCTGTCACACAGAGTACTTTACAGTTTTATTACTACTCTTTCAGGCTAAATCAGACCAGATTTTAAATTAAATGTCAAATGCAGAATAAAAATTTAGAGAAAGGAGGCTTACTGCTCAGAGGCAGCTATTTCTTCATCTCAGCTTGTTATATATTTTCCACAAAGTTCTGTGAATCATTACCTTGTGGTCTGCTACACAGACAAGTCACAAATCATTAAAAAACAGTATTGAAATGGAAAAAAAAAAAAAAAAAAGAAAATGAAAATTCACTTTGCCTTGGCTAAGTGCATTTCCTCTTAGATGTCAAGTGTAACTGTCAAGTTGGAGACAAATTTCCTGGTGGAGAAGACAACTCAGATCTGCTGCAAGGGCTTGCATGGAGTTTTTGTTGGTTTTAGAGAGGAAAGGTTGATATATCTTTTTAATTCTGAAAATATACCTTGAGCTTCCCAGACAACTGAACTAACAACCTTGGCATAGTCCAGGGGTGTTAGGGCTGATAACAGCAGAAGCTATATCTTCCCCACCATATAGTGTTAATTTTGTTGATACAGTTGGATTGGACTTTCTAAAGCTATTTTTTCTGTTCTTTTCCAGAATAGTTGAAACTGTCAATTGCTTCTAGCAAATTTTAAATATATAGAATAAATAAAGAACCACATATCAAACAAAACTCAGAAGTTTGTAAAAAAATGAACAAGCATAACAACAACTGGCTGCCAGCCCCAGCACGAATCACTGTCTGCAGTGAAGGGCATCTCATTTCAAATCCTCTTCCAGAAATATTAACCTGTGCTCTTAAACTCCCACTTATTCTCCCTGCTCAGGAAATCAGCCGGACTCAGTCACTGGTCCTAATTGACCTTCTACCAGTCAGTAGTTCTTGTCATCAGGGACATCCCAAAAGGAGAAAATACGAACGAAAAGCAAAACTCCAACAACTTCCTACTATTTTGGGGGTAACAGGCCTTCTAAAAGATGGATCCTCAGGTCCAGCTCAGTTTTTAAGAGAAAGATGAGATGCTTTAGCTTTGAGTGTGGCATAACATATAGTGTATAACTCAGAAAAACTTTCCATCATCTGCTGCAATCAGATCCAGAACTAAATGCTCAGATAATGGGAGCTGTAGACAGACAGATATGTGTTTTATATGGGCTCTAGCAATCAGATATATAAAACTCACCACAAACAGCTTTGTATATGTTGAAAGCTTGGATAAATTGTTCTTGGGCCTTTCATCACCCATTTATGGGGAGGAGGAGGAATGGAAAGAAAAAGTTGCAAATCCAGAATAATCAAATGGTACATTTGTCAGTCCTCCCACTCATTCCTTCTTTTTTCCAAGCTACAGTGCTTAAAAAGATTCAAAAATAGAACTTTTCAGCTACTTTTATATTTTTGTGAGGTTTTAAATGCGTAAATCAGTAAATTCAAAGCTATTACTTCCCTGAGCATAGCTACCTTGAGGCACGCTAAGACATTAATCCAACAAGACAGACAACAATGTAAATAGTCCGTATCCCTGCGAGAGCTGAAAGACAGCTGCAGTGGGAATCATCTTGAATTTGCTTACTGGCAAGAATTTAAATTCACACCCAGATTTCTTTTTCACTTCATAAAACTGCAGATGACTGGAAGGCGGAGAAGCAGGGCTCATCCCTTTGCTGCGACAGGGGCCCGCCGAGCAAGGTGCTGGCGGGCGGGTGAACCAGCAGGCATGTCAACTACACCTGCGTGGCTGGGTGTAAGTCAGAGGCACAGAAGCCCTGCCAGATAGACCACAGCTGCTGATGCCAACCCATCCGCGCCCTGTGCTCGCGACAGCTTCTGCGCCTGTCCCCGATTTACCTTCATGCCGAAAGTGAATATCGTGATGACAATTTTAAACACCAAAGCCAAGGCGAGCTGCCACATGGCGGTGTAGACTCCGGGGCCGGCCGGTCTGTCGGGAATGTCATCTACTGGCCGCGTCATGTTTGGGTCATTGATATAGTCGCAGAGCTGGGAGGACTCCAGGGCACCGCAGTCATTGAAGAGCTCTGAGATCAGCTCACTGGTGCTCCTCCGGGTGTAGGGGTTGGGGTAGGCGATGATGGCGGTGATAGCCGTGATCACTATGACCTCCAGGACTGGGTATTTCCCGAGCCTGGTGGTTTTTCGCCTCCTGCACCAGGCGATGTTGCATCGGATAAAGAGGGTCCCCCAGAGGCCACCAAAGACGCCGAGCAGGATGAAGGGGAAGAGCTCGGCCATGTACCAGGGGGTGTGGTACTCCACGTAGAACAGGACCAGCCGGCTGTTTCCAAAAGGATTGATGGACCTCAGTGTGAAAGCAGCCACGAGAGCAGCAAAAAATGACCTCCAGAGGGTTTTTAGGGGAAAGTAGTAGCTGACCTAAAACCAAGCAGAGACCGTAAACACTTCACTGAGTGTGACAGAGGGCGTTTGCTTTAATTATTCACTGCAGCACTGGCAAGTGAGCCATCGCTCTGTGTTTCATCTGTCACTCTACATCTGGCTTCACTGGGAACACCAGTCCTTACCACAGCCAGAACATGTTCACAAAGGCATCAGAAAAGGCATTTTCAGTTTTCAGATAGGAAGCAGCAACCAGTGAAAAATCGATAAATCTAAATCCAAAGTTGCTGGCTAGAGATGATAAGACAGGTGCTAGGCAGCTCAGCCCATCCAGCAGCAAGCTGAAAGCTGGAGAAAGCTCAGCACAGTGATACATTCCCAGATTAAATAATTTTGTTTGTTTCCAGAAAGCCAGTGCTCTTCTTTTACTCAAATTATGCTAAAATACCTGGTTATTTCTTATTACTAGAAATGATTATTTTTGCTTTAGAAGAAAAACAAGCATATAAATATTTGAAAAATAAAGAGGAATATTAGAAAAAGGCATCAAGTGAAAGTATATTTATTGAAGCGAGTGAACTGCCAAGTCTCACCTCTTCCAGGCTAAAAAGCACGCCTCCAATCGGAGCCCCAAAGGCAACAGAAACTCCTGCGGCGGCTGCAGCCGAGAGCACCTACAAAGCAAATATTTACGTACAGGGCATGAGTCCTTTGAAACACCAAGTATCTGGACAGGGAAACTCGAGATGATTTGAGCCAACCTCACCTCTCTCCTCTTTCCTTCGTTCTTGCTGTACTTTGAGAAAAGGCTGCTGAAGAAGTTTCCGCAGCAACAGGCCACGTGGACTAACGGCCCCTCTTTCCCAAGGCTGAGGCCTGAAGATACCACCAGAACCAAGGTGACTGTTTTGATTAAAAGTGTCCACTTTCCCAGGTAGCCCCTAATAATGAACCCACTCAAGATGGTTTTTATCTGGAAAGCAGGAAGAACATGTTGAAGAGCTGAAGAAACCTTTTCTACTGTGAACTTGCAAATGGAGTTAAAACCCCAGCGGAGTTAAAACAAAAATCACAGACTGCTTGAAAAGAGTCAGCGATGGAGAGAAAGAAACCGTAGGTAGGATAACTTTCCCAGTGATAGCTGAGCAGGGGTTAAGCAGACCACGCTTTTACTATTCTTATGGGTGGTCCCCTGCATCGGTAAGGAGTCTTACAGAGATCAGCAGAAATACGAAACTGTTACATATCTCCTTGGCTTACGGATCAGAGCTAAACTAGACCCAACTTTAACAAAGCAGAAGAAAGCAAATAAACAACCACAGACTCTTCCAGTTAAAACAAGAAAAAAAAGTTCTAAATATTTGGAATGGCCATGCCATAAAAGCATGAAAGTATTATGAAATGAGAAAGTCCAAGAGATCTTATTTTTACACATTTCCTCTTAATTTTGCATGTGAGTGGCTAGAATAGAGCACAATGCACGTGCACGACACACAGGCTGCAGGGTGTGATTTGGGTTTGGACTCCAGCCTTGGAAACGGACTGGAGCTCAGCATCACCTCACATGAGCTATTTACATCAAATATGTGAAAACGCATACACGTGACTATTTTGAAACATGGAAATGATTTAAATATTTCAAATTATTCGTGGTGGGTTTTTTTTCCTGATTGGCTATGAAGCATTTGGATCCTTCTCCTAGAGATGAAGAAAAAAAATATGCCAAGATTTCTAAAATTTGGGCTGTTGATTCTGTCTGTCAGATTACTAAGTGTCCTGTGGTTCTATAGCGCTTTTAACAGAAGACTGCCTTGAATTCAAAAATACGCTGCTTGAATTACAGGGTTCCTTATTTTAACAGCTTAAATAGGGATTGAGGCTCAATATGTAAAATACTGAAAACCAAGTAGAGATTTTGGCTGTCATAATGCTGTCATGCCAGCATGACATGGTGTACAAGGACACAATTTGCAGAGGATGGACAGCCAGACAGTTTTCAGGCATCCCAAATGATGGGCATCTCACATCTTCAGTAGCTTAGGAAACCTTAGCCTTGTAGCCCTCCCTATTTATTTTATTTTCATTTTATTTAAAGCCTAGCCTAGCAAATGACTCTTTTTGTAACTGGCCCAAGTAATTTCATCCGAGGAAAATTCTATACAATCTTCTAGTGAGTATGTGCCTCAGGCACAAAAAGTTGGAGTCCATAAAGTGATGACTGGGAGTTGTCGATTTTTAATTCAAGCTCTGGCAATGAAGAAGTATGTACATTAACCTGTCACAGTGACATTTGAACATTTTCTAGTATGAAAAATTTAGATGGGCACCATGAAGTCATGTTAGACAAAGGAATGAAGGCAGATGAGATGGGAAGACAATCTTCTTGTTCCTATGCTATCTTATAGTACAGTTCTGGAATGGGAAAAGGCAGCAAATTATCTTTTCTTTGTTTGGTTTGTTTTTTGGATATTCATCCACAAAGAAAAACTCACCTCTGGGATTCCAGAGCCACAGGCATAGGGAGCAAACACTCTGACCAGGGAGACTGCCAGGAAAGCAAAACATAGAGCCCACATAATGTATAGAAAATAGTTTAGAATGTAAGCACTTGCACCCTAGAAAAATAACAGTAACAAACATTGTTAGACAAATGCAGGTTGGTAAATCTCGCGCTTCTACTAGGGATCATGATGGCATGGAGCCTGGTCTTTTCATTTACATGCTACCTACTGCGTTTCCTCAGGAAGGACAAATGGCTTTATATACTCCCACAATTTTATTACTCATGGAAAGAAGCAGCATACTAATATGTACCTAACCCAGTCCATACAGTCTGTTTGCAAGGGACCCAAACACCTTAAACAGAGCATCTTTCAAGCTCTAAAAAATTAAGCCAACCACAAAAAGTTCCAAAACGTCAAACAAATCTGTCATAAGGGCAGAAGTAATTGGTGATAAAAAAGCACCTAATGAAGGAATCTGCTGTTTCATCCCGTGGCGGGTGACAGGGGATGAGACGCTGATACATCTTTTTCTGAGGGCTGGTATTCAAAGGTCAGCTCTCCATGCAGATGGTGATCTTTTCAAATGACATCCCTATGTATATCAGTAGCCAGTTCGGTTCACAAACGGGAAGGGTAAAACCATAAATAAATTCTTTCCTTCTATATGATGCTATCTATGATAGGGTTGAAAATCATTTGAAAACACAATAGCTTGGCAGATCCCACTCAGACACATCTCAATCATTTTTGCCCTGATATTTTAAAAGCATTCCAGCCAATAATAAAACCTATTTTCAAACTGAATAGCTTTACTTTACTGACAGAATGGAAATGCTAATGATTATTAGCAACGGTTGACTGTGCAGAGCCATAGTGAAAACATAGTCAGTAGTGACCTTCAAGCTTTCTATCTGTCTCCAATGGTCAAGTCAAAACTGTTGTTAAAATCTGCCCCTCCCTCTTCACAAGCATAATTTTTTAGATTAATTTCAAAAACCCCACCTACGCAGACAAAAGAGAATCTAGTCAGAGGCATCGAATTGATACAAGGAGCTTAAGCCTTCAAACAATCTCCTCGAGCAACATTGACACTACAGAATAAAAAACAAGATGAACCTCAGTGCATGAATTGGTATGAATCCTTCACCTCTAAGTGAACTCTTCCTACCGGATGCAATCCCAGCTGCTCAAGAACATCAGGGCCCCTGTCTTTGCTCTGCAGGACAGCAGCCTGGATATCAACATTATGATAAATCAAGTAGGAACACAGGCATTAATCAGTTGTATCGTGTTTTCAGTTAACAGAGCTGGCCAGGCCCAGTTCCCAGTCATAAAAAACCTAGAGCTGAGAAGTCTCCCTGTTTGCAAGCCTGCAAGGAATCAACCTTTAACACTACGAATGCTTGCTAGCCTCATTTTCCAGGTCTCTGTCCAATTGAAGAGACTGTAAGGGAACCACTGCCCTTATCCTTATAGATATATTTGGAAGAAGGGCAATTTGTTAAGGTCCTCTTGTGCTTGCTGAAGTTAGCAGATGGCTTTGCTGTTAACAGCAGAAGAGCAATACGATGCCATTCCCCAATGCCCTAAGACTAAGCAGTCATGGATCCCACACTTACAGTGATTGACATCCGTCTGTAGTAACCATGGATCTTTGTTGCTACAGCTGAAGACAGTCTCATTTCCTCATGAATGTCTTCTCCTAGTGCTTTCAATTACAAACAGCTATGGCAATATTTACTCTTCCTCTAGAGAAAACTCTGGATATGTTGCCCCAGGACAAAATTCTCCTGTCAGTGTGAACCTGGTGTAACTCCAGAGAAGACCAATGTCATTACAGCAATTTGGCCCTACAATGTTGAGTGAAAGCTGCAGTTGAGCTTCTAAATTCACTGGAGTCAAATTAACTTTGTTTCTTTTTACTTCCTCTTCTTTCACATCTCAGAAGTCACATGAAAACTATGTCAGCTCGTTACTGCAGTCACACATCCACCTACAGCACTGTGGCAGGACCCCAGAAGAGTCTATATGGCCAGTTCAGTCTTATCCCCTATTTTCCAGATATCTGGCATTCTGCAGGTCCAATTGCAGGAGTTTCTAATGATTAATAATAGGAAAACCTTTGGGAAGTGAAGTAGTAGTAACTCAGTATAGCAAATGGCTCATTTCTCATTCATTACATGCCGTTACTAAGGCCCTGAATCAGTAAAAGTCCTAAGCACGTACACTGGAATCAGAGACCAAAAACGCTCATCAGCAGAGATGATTCTGCTAAGACCTTTTCCGCTAGTGGCTCATAGGACTCACCCTGGCAGCAACAGTAATGAAGCATGCAGGGGAACTGAGCAAAACTTTGTATTTTAGTTTGCAAGACCTAGCAGTACTTCAGAGCTGGTGTTAGTCCAATTCAGGTACAAATGGAGCACAACTGAAAACAACCCTCACAAACTCAGAATACTGAAATAAAACACATCCCTCAGGACACCATCCATGGCTGACCAATGCTTGTTTTCTCCAGAGGTCGAGAGCTCTACTCTGACTTGACTTGGAATCTCACGGCTTGCAGACTGCCTCCAGTGGGCATTACAAATTGGGAAGTGGGTTCCAGGTAGAGAGGGGCTTCCTTGTCTTACTGGTGTCAGCTTCATGACAGGAGATCCAGAAGCCCTGGGGTGGGAATCCATTCCATTGCTGGATCCAGTGTCACGAGCCATGGAAGACACGGGGCCCTTTCCTCTGCTTTGGATAGATGTGAGGCACCAGAAATGGGGTCCTCAGCTCCAGTGAAGTTGAGGTTAGGACCAACCTGGGTCTGCAGAATAGGGAAGCTCCGGGTCACCAGATACTGGCTAGAGATCTAGCTGAAGGGGATGGCATCTGATGTGCTTTAACACACCCACTCCTTCAGTGATTTTGAAAATCTCTTGCATCAAAAAACTCTTCACCTGCCCTTTGGAAGCAGTTCAGGACCAGAGGGATGAAGGTTATCATTGGCCTACAAAACAGTGATTAGGGAAGAAAACATAGCCTGGTATGTTTCAGATGTGCTATTATGTTTTCCATAATAATTTATATCAAGACTGTGCTTTAGGCTCATTTTATAGGACGACTAGAATGAAAACATTTTTCAAGAGATGCCATAGGAAATGTCACAATTGTCAGTGAGAACATATGTACAGGGTTTATCACAGCCATAAATCGGCAAAACCACAAAGAAGAACTGATCTAAATCTTAGTCCTCAAAATGTCAAATTTAGTTGTCTATGATGAGAAAGAGTCAGAGTCATGCATAACAAAGAAGACACATCTGACCAGAGTACCTTTAGGGAAACTGTTCCAAGTACTTTCTGTCTAAAACATGCTCCAAATTAGTCCTTCTGTGCACTACGCATTTTATAGGGCTGTTACCCAAATATCAGGCACAAAATGAAGCAACATACAAAAAAAAAAAAAGGCAAGATTATCCTGAAATTCAGTGTATGTTGATCCCTCCTAGAGCCCTCTACAGCTACAGGAATCATGCGAAACTTGCCCATATCATAAGCCTTTTGCAGCAAAACAGAATTTTTACTTCCACATTCACATTTCTGTTGGGCTTTGTCTGGGATTTCAATGTAACAGTAATAGACAGCTATATTATTAATATTTACAGCATCCATCGGGCCGTGGCAGGCAGAAACCCACAGATCTTAGAGGCCCATTTGTTTTGAGAAAGAGTCTAAAACTAAGCCAAGATTAACCTTTTTCTTCCACTGTGACAGTATGTTAGGGGGTTAGAAGCCCAATTTGAACACAAAGTGAGTAAAGTTTCACAGTGCCCAGCTAGCTGGTACCTTTCTTATTGCCCCCAGCATACAACAGTCATGACTGCTGATTTCGAGCGGCAGGTGAAAGCAATAAATTTTCTCAAGGATATGCTCTGTTCATATATCCCAGCCTTTCAGAGTAACAGCATGTCAAACACATGCACAGGATTTCCAAATCCCATAACAATTGTAACATTCTCTGCTTTTTTCCCTTCCCACATTTTTTTGTTCTTTTAAATTACAACATCATCCCCAGTCCTGCAACTTTATACCAGGATAATATTTCTTCAGTGTTACAAAGACACAAGCGCCCAAACCATCTGTTAATGAAGACCAGTGTGAACCTAGCAAACCTCTGGCAAAGGGAAGCTTGGCACTCTGGACTGGCAACTGTGCAGAGAGATTTCTGCCTGCGATCAAATGGTGGGAATATTCAGGAACAGTGAGCACCCCACTACTTTCACTACGGTTAATTAGAACTATGGAAAATTGGGCTATACATATACACAGATGCTCTCATCTGGTTCTACTTGTACTGTAAACCTAAAGCAGCACTGAAGGGAATGTGAATGACAAACCTGTATGGTGATGAAGGTGCCCTCAAACACTTTCTGCAGGACCAGACCACCTCCACACTGGGGGAAGATCTGAGACAATCTCTCCAAGTCACCCATTTTTTTAATTGCCTGGCTGGAGGTGATTTCTCCCATAGAAGTATATATTTTCTTCTCCTATTATTGACCAAACTGCATTACCAGATATTTTTTAAAAGTCCCATTCCATAGTCAAGCCAGTTCTCTTCAAAGCCACATTCATCCCACCTCCATGTCATATTCAATTTTTGTCATATTCAAGTCACCTGTAGAAATGGGGGGAAGGGGGAGTTCAAGACAGTAATTCTGCCCAGAATTTCGAGTTGTGAAGGAATCAATATTATTCAATACATTGACTAGCTTAGGTTGAAAAGAAAATGTCCTTTTCATATTTTTTATAAAAGTATCATCTGCTAAAAGGAGTGTAGAAAGGCTGCTTCTGATGTCTTCAAAACAAAACTTTCATCTGCTTTGCTTTGAAACAACATTCTTTGTATTTAAAATTACTACAATTTAAAAAAAAAGATAGAAAAAAAGTTCTTAAAATATAAGTTTCCTGTCAGACCAGATCAGCTTTTTCCCTTCCTGTCCTCTCCCCCTGCAAATTTTTCACTTCGGCCATCTCCCAGGGAGCCCATTATTTCCCCAGCTTTCAGCACTTATCTGATAGAGAAACTGATTGCAAGGGCATAACAAGCAGTTCTTATGCAGCTCCCACTACTACTCACAGCATCTGAATACATAAAAACCATCTGCAATCCTGAAAATTTCCTCTTAAATGTGTTTGTCAGGGATCGTCTTTTTTGTCCCATAAAATTGTGTTTGAAAGAAAAAAAATGGATAGCAGCTCAGGTCCCCTGGTAATTATGTTATGAGTGTTATGAAACACTTTTGGTTTAATACGGATATAAAGAGAGAATGATCTCGCAGTTTTCCAATTTCCATCACACATGACACTGAAACAATAGGGCCTCTCCCAAGTTAAGCAGATATTGCTTGCAGAAAGGTCTTTTTTTGCAGCGTGCTCAGTTCATTACTTTCTCTTTCAGAGAAACTCTCTGGAGGGAACATCAGCAAGTATGAAAAAAGGGCATTCTTTGGCCTGCTGTGACCCCAACCTAATCAGGTCTCCCGTACCTCAGACTGGCTTACAAGAAGTTCAGACCATTTCTGCCACTGGGGACATTTGTCCCTGTCATCAAATGTAGTTTCATTAGACGTCCAGCAGCACTGCTCATGGCTGTACCAGAAGGCAGACAGGCAGACACCCTCTTTCAGGTCTGTCATCCAATCCACAGCTAAATCTATCACTCCAGCTAACGTGCCTGGAAAAAGAAATGCAGAAAAAGAAATGCGGCATTAAAAAAATATCAAGTCACAAGGAAAATGTATCTAATTATAATAACAGCAAAAATCCATGATTTGGGGAAGCAGCTGCAATATAAGCACGAATATACCAAACAACTGGGGGTAACAGTGAGTTTGCAAAGAAACGGCCACACCAACATGTTGTCTGACCCCAAATGTTCTCTTGGAAAGCTTTTATTTTAAATATTATGATTTTCATACGGACTGATTGCCAAATAGGGAAGGCATAACTGATCCTGCAGTCTGTCCCAGGCAGGTGCACCACTTGACTGAGATAAGCAGGACTTCAGGCGGGGTGTGTATACACATACTAAGCTGCAGGTCTCAAACCACGCTGTATTTCAGGTGTAGAGGAGGAGGAGGATACGTATGTTTTCCTATAACCTTACTGGTCCCAACGCAGCAAACTTTTAGAAGGATGATTTCAGTACAGAAACAATATGGATGCCAAATTCTGACTTAGGAACTTAACAGAATTGGGCTCTCGATGTGTACATTCATTAGCAATCCAAATGCGCAGAATAAAATGATCCTTCAAATCCTCTCTGTACCAAACGAACCCTTATTTCTGTTTTTCCCCAGTAATTACACAGAGCTACAGTGACACCCGGTGGCCACCGGACACAAACAAGTGTAAAATTGATGTGGCGAGACACAAAAAAGAAAATCCTGCTTTCCTAGGGCATTTGCTCATCAGCGATAGTAACCTGCCCCAGCACCAGCACCCTCAGAGCAGGTGCGTCCTCAGGAGCGCAGCGCCAGCAGGAGCGGGGAGGCTGGGAGCAGCCAGAAGACGGAAAGGCAGACCTGCCTTCGGTCCCTCTGTCCGTAGTTTCTGGAAAGCATTAAACCACCAACTGACAGAAAAGTCATTTAGTGCTTTCCAAACCCCTCTCACATACAATGGAAAGTAGAAGTCAACTACATTTTTGCTGGTAATCATTAATACAATTTCAGGAAACCAGTAATGAATTTGAACAGAATTCATCGGTGCATTTCAGTAGGACTAAAACACTGAAAAAATGCTTTGCAAAATGCAAAACAGTTTCGTTTTATGTGTCAAAAACGTTTAGCTTTGTGGCTTCTGCTAAGAATGCAATTACATGAAGCAGGGTTGGGGGCTGCTCCCCTTTCCCCTAGCAGCTGGGGCACACAGGTGGGTGGGTTCAAGAGCCAGTTTATTTGACCTGGAACTAAAGTTTTCTGCTTTTCATTTCTGTGAAAGAGGAAAAAAACCCAAACAAAACATTTCAAATAATTCAGGCACATGTAACCTGTTTTTTATTCCACCAAACAGAAAAACCCCGTAAGTGTTCACAGAGCCTTACACAGAAGTGTATCTTCTCACTCCCTTGAGAAGGATACTTGTCACCACGCTGACAAGTGACGTGACCCTGGTAGCAGTGAAGAATTTTTGTTGTATAGGAATAATCTGAAGAAATATGCAGAAACACTAGACAAGATCACAAAAAAGGCTGCAGGAGGGAATAATGATGTCTGCACCAAGTATTTTCTTTCATGAAGACCTTGGCTTTCTCTTGCTTACTCTCTTCCATTTTCCTAAGTTTCTATGGAAACAATGAACCATATTCTTAGATGATGATAAATCACTGCGTTGCTACTAACATCAGCATGCATAGATTACTGAGTTTTGCAGTAAATTCTAGATTCTCCTCCAATTTTCTGAAATGAAACTTTATAGTTTCATTTCGGAAATAGTACAAAGAATCCTCAGCGCTTGGCCATGAGCACCAAATGCTGTGCCTCTTGCATCTCTTGATGGACCTTTATCATCCTCTGCAGTTACCCCAATCTTCAAAGCTCAAATCACACTTAATCAGCCATTTGAGTAGGCTACCTAGCAGAAGGTACAAAGGAAGGCAGGCTTTTGAATGTTTTTCCCCAATAAAGTTAATAAACAGAGTGAGGAACAAACATTCAGTTCTCTAATATAACAAGCTCACATGCACCACAGCGCCTCTAGGTAAATGTGCCTCTAGAAAAAAAATCCCTTTTGCCAAATGCTGAGGGATCCACATAAAGAGGAAAACGCTACATGCTTTACAGAGGAGAAAATCCTGCAGGATAATAGTGCAGTAGTTAATGCTTCACAAGCCAAGTGACCAGGGCTAGAATTTTTCCAAGTTCTGCATCTCTGCAACTTTAAGTGAAATTAATGGAAGCTGCAGAGTGTGCAGCATCTCAGAAAGTCAAGCCTTTAATTTCTGGTGCTTACCGTGGCTTCTCCATCAAAGGAACTGAACTTGTTCCCTCTTTTGTGTAACCTCCTGCCCAGAACAAAAAATAATGAAGCGCTCCAAAGCTAGGAAATGCCGAACTTCATTTTAGGTATTAGCCTTTTACCTCTCTCCTTTTCCTTTGGTTGATGATGGCCAATACTCATCCTTTACAATGCCCTAATGAGAATGCTAAAAATTTGCTTTGAAAACATATTTTTCCCAACGCACCTGTGACACAAAACTGCATCACCCAAGTGGCATGGCACTGAATTACAAAGGGGATTTTTGCACATCCAGCTCCAGTACTGGAGCACTTCAGTATTAGTACAATAGTACTTTTTGTCACATCACTTTAGAAAACACAATCTCTTTTGCTGATCTTCTATAAATAGCATATACCTTCGGTGGGCTAGTTATGGTTAGGTTGAGGGATGGCCATTGGTTTGCAGGCAGGATGGGCAAAGTAAAAACTCAGAATTCCTTAAAAACGAGTGCCTAAAAATTTGGCACTCACACCCAAAATTTTTAGGCTCATTTCTCCTTACATTATATTTCTCCAGAAAGTGTGCAAACTTTCTGACTGAGACTGGCCCAGGTAGTACTCAGTATCTTTGTCTGGAGCATGTTGTGAGCAGTCTTCATCTGATCTCCACACCAAACAGCATTCACGGATGTTACGTGTCGGACTGTGGCGACAGCGAGGGGCTCCGCTCAGGCTAATTTACGTGTGCACACTCACTCGTGAAACTTTGGTCTGATCCCAAATGGCTGCTGTTACATTCTTAATATACTTCGGTGTTACTCAGAACATACAGCTCTGACTCTGAAGCTGGCTCTGCTGTGAGCAGGAAGCCAGAGCAGACCCCTCCAGCGGTCCCTTTCCCACTCATGCTTTTTCTGGGACTAATGAAGGATGTGGGTGCAATGACACTCCAAAAATGACATGAGTGAGGGCTACTGCCAAACTGGATGGTCCCCTCCTTCCTCCCTCCATCAGCTCCTTTCTGTCAGCAATATTTGGATTGCTTGCGGCCCTGCGGTGACCAACCCTGCTGAGCCCACTGATCAACTGAAAACTAATCTGGCCCAAACCCATTTTTTCCGCCAGGCAGGTTCCCGATCCAACCCCCCTGTGCAGCTGCACATGCACAAGGCAACAGGGCCTGATGACAGGGACACCGGAGGGCAGAGGTGACTACTTTTGGCCACATCGGCTTGCATTGGCTGTGGAGGTGCAGCCTTTGAAGTGTTGCAAAACCTGAAAGATTCAGTTGACCAAATCAGTGGTATTTAGGCGTCTAGATCATTTAAGTTCACTGTAAAGTCCTGGGCCTGAGTAACTCTTCCAAGTGCCTCTGGAAACACGTGGAGGCCCCTGGCATCCCCTTCCAGCGGAGGGGCAGCAGGGGCAGGGTGCTCCACACAGACCTTCACACCTGGGTACTACTCCTGCTGCTTTCCCCCTCCTCTCCCACTTCTCGCCACCCCCTCTCCTTGTCTCTGGTAATGCCTGGACTCAGCTGCCCAAAAGCTCGGCCAGTGTCTGTGAAGCTGGGCCAGGCTGCTCCCCTTGGAGCAGTGGTAGCTTCTGCCTGCTCAGCAGGGGAAGAGGGACCATGGAGGAGCCAGGCTGGTCCACACAACCCTGTGTGATCATGCAGGTGCCCTCATGGCAGGCCGGCTTCTCTGAGCAGGCAATATTTCAAGCAGAGAGGGAAACGACTCTTGACTGCACCACCAACCTCACCTCCTCCCTCCCCAAACCTGGTTAAGAAACCTCACCCACTCATCAATAATCCGCCCACTCATCAAAGAGGTGTTGATCCCTCGCTGAGGCTGAGATGGTGCCTCTCCATCTTTGGCTTGTCCCAGAAACGCTGGAGGCACAGAGCACATGTATCATTTCAATGGCAGGCAGAAAAAGTCTAGAGAGTTCAGCCCAAATCATGAGCACGCAGGTAATTTTTGTTCTCCAGCTCATTCACAAGTCCTTGCCCCAATTTAGAAACAGACTAATTTGATTTGACTCTGAGATAAAACATGTTGTTCTGCACCCTTGTCATTGAAAAGGTTGCAAAAGCTAACACATCTCAGCTGCAGCTTACCCTCCACCTCCGTTCCCAAGCTGGACGTACCAACATTAGAGCTTATCAGAGGTCAGCAGCTCTGGCTTTCGACAACCTTGAGGATTTCAGAATGAGGTTTCATTGCAAACTGGAACTGAAACAAACCTATTGGGATATTTTTACTAAAATGGGAGTGAGTGTATATCACATTCTCTGTATGAGCGAGGGGATTACTGACCAGCTTGCAGGAGGTCACTAGAGCCCTCAAGGGCTTACTCTAACTTTATTTGCAAGCAGAATTCTCCATCCCAGATGAGGCCCACCCTGGCCTTTCAGCAGCCCTGGTAGTACACAGTCTATCAGACTCTCTTCGCATGTCACTCTCCCTCAAAGCCTTTGTGGAAACAGGTATATCTCTACAAAATAACATAATTTGCCAAAAATGTCACTTCAGCAACATTTTCTCAAGAACTTTCCCAGTACTTCTGAGGCTCCCGAACAAACTGTAATAAACGTATTAACTTGACAGTTGGTAAGCAGGAAATTCACACCATTTGGAAATTATGAAACTTTACATCATACTTTTACCAAGCAGCGTGATACAAGAGCACCCTGACATCACTGAAAAAGCATAAAAAATGGCAGCTGTTTCAAACTTGGTAATAGAAGTGCAGCTTTCCAAGTTAGAAGATGTGCTAAGCTGTGCAGAAGACAGGAGACATTTAGGAAATTAATTAATTTGCCATCTGAGTTTGAGCAGGCTGTTAAATATGTAATGTCTGTCTGGCCTGGAAGCAGATCTGAAACTGAGTCTGAAACTGTATTTTCCCTTCATGCATATATAAAGAAGACAACCCAGTGGATATAGCAATTTACGAAGCTCCCCTTTGAGTGTCCACAACCAACATTTTCTCCACATCATAGTATCCACTTGCAGAATTAAAGTAAATGAGAACAAGAAAAAAAAAATCCTACCAATAAAATTGACTTCTGTGAATCAAAGATTCAGAAAGTCAAAGTAGTCCATCGAGTGTAAAGCGCTCAGATGTGTATTTCCAAAAGCAATAGAAAAATCCCTCTACTGGTGAATAACATTTTTCCTAGGTCAGCACTCAGCAGGAGACTTTGCAAGTGAGTATTTTTATTAAGCATTATAACTGCATGGATGCATAGCTGTCTTTTTAGCTTGAAACATCAGTGGAGAGACAATGAAGTAAAAAGAGAAGCAGATGGCACTGCAGCAAACTTGTGTGAGATGGTTCTGGGCATAACTATAACGATAACACACACGTACCTGCCAGTAGTCCTATGAGAAGCATTACAACCCATCCTGACCAGGCATCCAGCAAACTCTTGATGAACTCCCATATGGATTCCTTACTTTTGCTTGTAATCTGAAATTAAACGTATATATAGATATGTTGCTGATTCAGGCTGACACAGTTTTAGTGTATAATGTTTAAAACAAAAAATATTTTACCTCCTAGAACATGTATACAATTTCTCTACTCTCTACTCCCCCTAGTCCAAATCATTTTTTAGAGGTGCTCTGCTGATTAAGTTGCTGGAAGCCCTTTCATATTTACAAACTCAAGACATACCACATCCATATTTTTAGAAGTCCTCCTCAAGTCATACAACAAGGTAGGAAGCTATAACTTTGGAAAACTGCTTGTTTTTCTCACCACCAGGATGGCTGTAACCCAGGGACTGCAATGCATCAAAGCCGGACACCTTTACCTTTCTATGGCGGTCAGTGTCGCGTGATTTTTCCCGCAGCCAGTCGATGGTATGGAAATCTTCGTAAGTCCCAACGTCGGGGAAAGGCTCATCCAGAAAATCCATCAGGTTGCCAGAACCATTCATGTCTCCTGCATTGACCATATTAGGGTCTGTATGTAGAGGAAAAACAAGTACGTCAATAAATTCATACAGCTTTGCCAGACATTTCAGAATCAAATTTTCCAAAATACCTCCACAAACCACAAAGTCAAGAGAGCATGAGTCAGCAGTCCTGGTGGGCACGTACTGAAATCTATGCATTGCCACTAGAAAAAGTATTTTGCTGAAGACTACTTCAACAGCTTAGCAAACCCTAAAAAGCACATACAAAAAGCAGAGTGTCCAAGTGGGGAAATACCAGCTTTCCTGAAAACAGAGCCCCAGAACCCAGGATGTTTCTGGACTTCTGTAATGATACATCCTGATCACGTGTCGGAAGAAGTTCCCTGCCTGCACGGAGGTCATCAAGTAGGCAAGGTCACCAGCTCAGAAAACAAAAGATAATACACTGAAATTTATCATTTGTCATGAACTGCAGATTTTACATGGCACCATTAGTCATAACACTGCAGTGTTGTCTAGTTTGGCATGCTCAAAGCTCCCTGCATTCATATGCTTTCCTTCCACTGCTCAGAAGGCAAAGCTCGAGATCACAGTATGTTTACTCTGCATCAGGTCTCGAAATGTAGTATCTTTTTCAAGTTTTCTTCTCAAGGGCTAGGAGCAGGACTATTCTTGGGAGAACCTGAGTGGTTCCCTTCTGTCCCATAGACAAACTTTCCAAATTTGCTTTAAGAAAGCAGGGGGAGAAACAGCCACCACATGTCCTGCTAGAGCACAAGAGGAAATACAAAGATACCTATCCCCAAACTATAACAAGCAGTTACCAGAGGCATTTGATAATTAGAAAGGAGATCAAGGTAGGTTGGGAAATAATATACACTCTAGAGCGTGGCACATAGGCTGAGTGGACATTTTCAGCCCAGAAGTCTTTGGGGACATGCCCTCTGGGTTGACAGACTAAAGATATGAAAGCAGAGGAACATCCGTGCCCATTGCTCTGAAACCGTGGGAACTATACCTTGTTCATGCAATCCACGTAAGCAAAGTATGAAGAAATTAACTCATAACCACTGTACCTCTCTTTCCCACAGAGAGCTCAGCAACGTCTGGCTAGGTGCAAAAATGACTGTTACCTCCTTTAAAGGTCAGGTCCCAAAGTGGTCACTAATATGACAAGCTCCAGAAACGGCTGACATCATTTCCAATGAGAGGAGCCTTTAGTAGCTTGAGAATCTATTAAAAGAAGTAGTTTAGGCTCACAGGGTTGGATTCATCCCACTTAACTTCAGCCATCTGAAAGTTTGGTGTCTGGACTGTAAGAACCACCTAGGCTGCCTCTAGAGACAGAGAAAGATGGTGTAAGGGTGTGTGGCAGGAGGGTGCCGGCTCCTTTAAAGGTATCTGGTTAAGGACCTTTTTCAATGCAACAAGGAATAGTAAGAAAAGGAGGAAGCCATGAACAAGAACATACAGGGACACAAACCTGATGCAAATGATAAGGGAGGCGGTGATGGGAACCAAACCTAGTCAGTCACACTCACTGATGAGAGCACGTGGGAGTGTGAGAATTCCAGTGAGGTTGTCTGATCAGGGACCTCGTCAATTGGGAAACTATGGGAAAAAGGGGGAAACCAGAAAACCAAAATACACAGAGACGCAGACCTGACAAAGCAAACATGGAGACAATGTCAAGAAACAAACCTCACCACCCACACTAATTGAAGGGCTCTTAATTGTGTGTGTGCCTCTGGGGTACATGCTCAGCTTTGCTACTGGTTGAACCTGCAGATGGGAGAGTGCCAGCCGTGTCCCCCAGCGTGGGCAGAGACCCCCGGTCCATGGGCTGGGCTCCAGTGGCCGGGCAGGAGGGTCCGGGGCCGGAGCAGCTGGAGGAGGCGGCCGTGCGCTTCTACATCACTTAACAAAGTGTTGCTCTAAAGAGTGATTAATCCCATCCATCCTAAAATAGGTGCTTGGGAAACAGGGTCTTCCAGAGAGTGCCTAGGGTTTGTAACCTGAAATGGCAAGCTTAAGAAAATGGCTAACAGAGAGTTAGGATAGTGTTACCGCACGAGAAAAAATAAACACAAGAAAATGCGTAAGAAAAAACGGGGACAGATACAGACTTCAGGGGTTTTACAGAACTGACCCTGCAGTGCCTGCTGCTCCTTGACAGATACAAGATAACTTCTGCAGGTCACTGATGAGGCTATCACGGTACTACCAGCTGCTACCCACTTTCCTCTGTCAGGTATGGAAACAGGGATTTCACGAGTAAAGAATTTGGATCTTTCAATCTGTGAGGAAATTTCCCAGTTCTCTAATTGGAACAGGCAAAAACGTGGCAGATGATAAGCTTTTAATCAACTGTCCATACACCCTGCTGCTCTGCTTGGCCCCCTTTATTTACTGCCTTTTTTCCCCCCCTTTCTCCATTTTCAACTGTTTTACTTGAATCCTCTCCATTTAATTGTTTTCCATGGTGGTGACTTTAGGGATGTGAATACTCAGCTTTGTCAGTGTCTGCTCTTTGTACTCCACTGGGTAGGACTTTTTTGGATGACACAGACAATGTGCTCAGCATAAGCAGCTGAGAAAAGCATTACTTTACAAGCAACCAGCAGTTCACCGTTATAATTCTATAGAAGCCCTTTTAAGTGTGGAAATCAAGTAATCTCCAAGCACCGTGGCTTGTTTGTCTGAAAGAGGATCAAGCAAGGAAATCCCAGCCCAGGGAAGGAAACCAAATGCAGAGCAGGTGTCCCACACAGCACTGCTGAGCACAAATAAGCTGCCACAGGATTGAGGCGATTTAAAAAGCAGCAGTTAAGAGGAGTGACAATTGAGAACAGCAGTACTTTGCCAAACAGATGAGAGCACGCTGCTACATTTGCTACAAGAAATGAGAGTCTGAAGGTGGGATGCTGAGGCTGACACCAGGGAGCTGAAGTTGCAAGTGGACCTTAAGTTCAGTGTCTTGTAAACCATGACTGAGGATGGGAACAGAAAGCTGAAATGAGGTGAAAGGATTAGACCGTGCTATTATTTGTAACGCTGTGACATTCTGCAGGTCATTTACTTCAATCTATTCTTCCCATACAGCGAAAAAGGACCAGTAAAGAACATGTAGTTCAGACTGCTTGCCTGCACAAGGCAGCCCCCCCCGCTGTATAAACAAACTTCTGGGAACTCTTGTCCTGAAAGCGTTGGCAAGTTTTCCTTAACGCTACAAGAGAACTACCCAACACGCTAGTTATATCACATAAAAAATAGCTTTTTAAGTATGTTGTCAATGCCCAGCACATGACAGTATTGTGATGGATAATAGTAGGCCAGACCACAAGTATGTAGGATAATTACAATCTCAGCCTGAATCTACCCAAAAAATACGTGCTACACAACATGTCCAGGGAGAGAAAAATGTGCTAGAGACCACAGGGCTATGGAAGACTAAGAAAACAAACAAACTTTGAGCTGTAGGTAGCATACTAATACCTGGAAATTGCAGCTAGCTTGATCATTATCAGCCTTAAAGTTCGCTTCAGGTACCATGCTTTTGAAACCAGAGATGTGATATCAGATTATGCAAATCCCAATTCTAGTAAATAAAACCTGGCTACAGCACTTTTGGGTTGAGTATACAGAGTTCCCATCTTATGCCCTAGCACTAAGCACCATAATTATCACTTTCTTTCTCTTTATTTTGCATTTATTTATCTCACCTTACTTTGGCATCTGAAACAATCTCCAAAGTTTATTTCAGGATAAGCTAACTTGCCCTCTTAGAGATGTTTGCAGAGATGCTTCCAGTTCTGCTGGCAGCAGAACTGGAGCCTTACACAAATAACTCAGTTACAGATATTTTAATTTAATACACATAACTTAAGAGCAAATTAATCTCATCCAAACATGAATTGTAGCCAGATGTACTGCAGCAATCCATTCTGATGATGGCAATCGTAATTTGTGGTGCGAGTTGCCTCATCTGGCATGAGAAATCTGCACTAGACTCTGGACACTAAAATCTAGACTCCTTGCATAGCTGAGGAGGGGAGGTAAACTCTATTCGGATGCAATTTATCTGATGTATCTTAGACATGAGACAGAGAAATGTCAGAGGCAGACATCCACATCTCATCAAATGAGTCTGACACTACCAATTCAAAAGAAAACACTGCAATACCATTACATGCAGAATTAGTAACAAATGCAACCCATAGCTACTCCTAACACCTGAGCATCTAAGAGATTTGGATACTCCGACAGAGCTTGTATACACTGAAAGGTGTTGAATCTTGCTGAGTAACTGCTTGACATATGTATTTTGTCCCTTTGTTGTTCTACGTCTTAGACGCCCTTGCTGTCCTTTCCACTACTTTTCCGGATGCTGATGCAACATTATTTGTGTAAGGGCAAACGTTTCCTGCTTAGTCCTCTATTCTTTTCCTAATAATTCCTGGCATTCCACCAGTTTTTCTTAGGGCAGACTTCCAACATTTTCACTGAGCAGGCTGCTATGACTCCAGGCTATACTCCATGAGAGGCAGCGGCCAGTTTGGAGCCCATCATTCTGTGGTCTCTTAGGGACATTTTCCCCATTGCTTTGCCTCTGTTGACTTTGAATTACATCTGCCATTTTATTCCCTGCAATTCAGTAGAGAGCCTTCTTCAGCTCTTCACAGTGAGCACCCACTTTTACTGAATAGCTTAGCATACCTACAACCGAACATTTGCATCAACGCTCTGCTTTAACAATTGTAAACAGGTTCTTGCTAAAAGCTGAATGAGGAACCAAAGAAATCTGATTGAACTACGTATCTCCTGAACTCAAGAGAGTTCCTCCTTGCAGTCTGGTTAGCAGATTTCCCTGGATTTAGACCCACTCAGACTACCGCGGTCCTGTAGATGGAGCAAGGTCCTGGCAAGGATCAATTCACAAATTGAAAGAGGTCACAGTGCTAGTCTGGCAACTGTGCCTCCTGATAGAGGCTCTCCTGGTTGCCACATAACCCTAGACATCTTCCAGAAACCTTGCACCA